TCTGCAGTTATAAATGTGATCATCCTTGCACAGGATGCAGACAAAGCGTAACAGTACACACAAGCCCAAAGATCCAGTACTTTGAAGCAAAATATTACTCCAACGGGGTTGAAGGCAAGTGAGAAAATCTAGTGTAACTACAAAGTCTCCAGAAGTGCTCTGATGTTTCAGTAACTGTTGACTCTTCCCCATCCCCAGTCACATTTCCCAGACTAAAGAGGCTTTTCCTTTTAGGATTTCCTCTTTTCAACTCAGCCTAGGGTGGACTATAAACACCTGCTGCTCCCAAGGCCATTACTTCTTCAACTGGGATCTCAACATCTCAGCCATAGATGTGCCAAGACTGTTAAGTTCCAATCATAACTGAAAAAGGCCATTACAAATGCCAGTATTTTTCATTACTAAGTTTATCCTACAATGTGAAAATAAACATTTGGAAAAGGGAAAGCAGTAAAACAGACAGCAGTGTTGAGACTATTACAGACATAAAAGTTAAATAAAAAGATCTAAACACAGCCCGTGATGGCATGAAAACATTGAAAAGGTAGGACAGGTCCTTCTACTCTGGTGTGAGAAACTGCCACAAGGACTGAGGAGCTTCCTCCTGCCTCTTTCCAGGAAAGGGATGTCTGAAGATGGGTGTCAGGCATCCTTAATGAGAACATGAAAAAACAGCGTAGATCCATCAACCAACATTATAAATTTGGAGATGGAAATGCTAAACACACACCTGGGAAATGGAAGCATAGGTCCTCATCCTGCTAGACCCCTAAGTGCGCAAACTTGCTTTTAAAAAGTAGATTAAGAGATGCAAAAAAAACATCCAAGTTTAGCGAGAAATATGTTACTTCCACAGAATTCCCACAAGAAAAGTTACGGAATAGCAAAGCACAATTTGGAGCACATAATCCAAATCTCTGGTTTACAAGAAAATGCAAGGTAAGCTACTCCTGATTTTTTAACTATATTCTGGATGCCCGCAGTTTTTCATATACAGTAAGGTCTACAACCCCTAACATCTTAACTCTTAAAGAATTTTCAGCAAGGCTTCTGCTAGAATACTTCAGCTTCTTCGCAAAGAGTTCCAAATTTAGTGAGTAGAGTCTAGTTAACTGCTAGCCTCTTCAGTGTTGACAGTTTGCAGCCTTTCTTTTCAAAGTGACCCAGCTTCTGGATGAAGGAGGCAGAAAAGAACAGCACACAAGAAACTTGGCTGGTCTTACTGTGGAGCCTGGGAATCAGCACTCCTATCTTTCACGAGCAACCGATATCTCTGGTCTGCCTCCTAAACACCAGGCTGCAACTGAATTATACGTGTTGTGCAGTTTTAAATGTCCCAGACCTTTGATTACTAGATGCAAGCATCTAAAAATACGAATGTAACATAGTTTGTCTGTTACGAATGTAACATAATTAACAGCAAATGTCTTGTGCAGAAAGCACAATCTCTCTATAATGTGATGCAGTTCAAAGACTACCAATTGCCTGGAAGAACTAGATCAATCAAACAAGGAAGACTAAATTCCTGGGACACAAATACTTCAGATGAATATTCATTCCTACTGTACACTCCAGACTTAAGAGACAAGTTCCATGTCTGAGGACTATGATTCAGAAACTTGGTGAGATTGATTGTCAGCAATACAGGCTCCCTTTACAAAGTCATTTTGTTCAGAGTGAATAGCTTCCCCACTGAACAAGTTATTCCTCCACAAGAATCATCCTCTTACACTCCTGCCTGTTTTTTCGTGGTGTTCAGTATAACATATGCCTGAAGATCCCTGAATCAGCTCTTTTTACAAGAGGGCAAGCAATGCTTTTTTGCAATCCTTCAGTAAGGTGAAAAGGAATCTTCAAAGTGATGCTACTTTTGTTGGCCACTTGATCTTGCTGCTAAAGTCTATTCTTCAGCACATGACAAGTCCAGCACAAGCCCCATTTTCAAGTAACTTGTGAGGCCCTTCTCAGTTTACACACAAAATCTCAATGCAACAACTTCATTTTCCACAGATGTTCTGTGCTAAGCACTCTGAAAACCAAGTCTAACCTGCGTTTCTTCAGGGTCAAAGGCACTTCAAAATGTTTGTAAAATACCTGGCTCTTTGGGAAACCTCTCTCCAGTCTTCAGGATGAGAAACAATGCTTCCTACAGCCAGAGAATAGTATGCCACAGCACAGCTTTTATAACACATCCTCTGATTACCAGAAGACCTGAGATACCATCTCAACTCCACACCTGCGCTAGCCATGTAGAACAGACTTGAAAAGCAAGGTTTTCCACAGCAATTTTTCCATGTCAGCAGCATGTTGTCTGGATCGTTCAAGGTGGAGAAAGCTCAAGACTTTTCTGAACTTCGTTAATATGGAAACAGACAAAACTTATCATGTGATGGTGCACAACACACACAGCAACATGACCACCTCGGCTGGCCACTACAGAATCTCAGGATGAGCTTCATCTTAAAGGTAAGCAATATGGTTTGACCACAACTCACAGCAGCAGTGAAAGGATAAAGGGATTTTTAAACACAGAGATGAGTTAATAAGTATTTTCTGGTAAAAAGACCTACTGCCACTTCAAAAACCTATAATGCAAAGAGAACCAAACCTAAAAAAATCCACACCCACAAACTCCCAGCTTTAAAGACAGCTAAGAAAAAGGAACAGGGACACTCTACAGGGCTGCACATCTGCAGTAGTGACTATTAGAAAAACTTTAGTATATATGTTAGATACCTGATGTTGTTTACAGTATTTGCTACAGGAAGTAAGAAGACGTAACTCAGCAGCTGCAGCCCCAACTGACAATCAACTTTGAAGAAGTCAAACTCATATGTATGTGACATACACTATCTACACAGGTTGCAAGTATGTTTTTGTATCTTAAAAGAATCCTTTAAGAAACTGAAAAAGGAACACCAGAAAACAGAATGGCACCAGAACGATCAAGACCGTATGCTCCTTTTCAAACACCTACACCTGAACAGATGATCATCATTACACCACATATACACAAACTCATATGTACTTCCAATGCTACAAGAAACTTGACTAAGATAATAAGTAATTATACGGGTACAATCTACCTGGTATGCTAAGTGACTATCCAAAGACTGTGGTAACTAATATCAAGAATATTTATGAATTCAGACATAGTTATATTTTTTATTGAGTATACCATTCCTGTATCAAACTAATAAAAATATGAATCTAAACTCCACAAGATTTAAATTTGGAAAAGCTCGGAATACTAATTTTAATATTTTACACAGATGATAAGCCATCTGCATAGAATCCCAAGCACAAATGAACGCAATATGCTGGGTACTTTTACAGATGTATTACTTTCCCACAGGCTTCAAAATACCACCACACGTCAAAACCTTGTACAGAACTCATCACCATAAATAACAATTGTATTTAATTCCTATCTGATGTAGATAATTATCTTAATCATCTATTTAAGGAAAAGATTCTATGGGGGTGGGTGTGTGTTTATTTATACACACACACAAAGACATATGCTTTAAACTCCATCAGTCAATTTTTCAAGTCTACATGATTTTTCAGATGTAATGTATGGGCTACTACAACCTTACAGTCTTCATAATCTATTCACCGCACATTAGTTTTATTTTCACACTAGTAACCTGACTACAAGTTCATGATAGTTCAGAATGCCCACTAGACAAAGCATGTCCTCATTCAGTTCTGGACTTCGTTTACTGATTTGAGGGGCAGAATTTAAGCACCAAAAGCTGTACTTCAATCACAAACCAGAAGAGCCATCAGTTTTAGCCCTAATACATTTCCAGCAAGAAGAGTCGTAAGAGAGAAAAGAATGAGGGATGTGGGCAAGGACCTGATCTAGGACAGCATGGAGAGGAAGCATGAAATAAAGCAGCAGAACAAAGCTGCCCACTAACTCTAAAAATGCAAGGAGGAAGAATTTTCAGGGAAGAAAAAAAAAACAAAACAAAAAAACCCAACACACACACACCCCCCAAAAAAAACCCAACAGGTGGTACAGTGAAGAAAGGTATAAAATACATTGGAAAACAGCAGGACTGAAGTCATCTGATACTAGGGCAATGTTCTTCATTTGAGCAAATCTCCAAAACATGCCACAATTTGGGGAGTTTATTAGGTATATGTATCTCCCCCACCCCACTCCTACATTACCCAGGTTTTCCAATTTATTTCCAAAGCCATAATTCAAAATGGCAAGGAGAACATTATTCTAGAGACTCCTTACAAAACGGTGGTGAACTTTTATTTAAGTTACATTCTAACTACATAAATACTAGTCTTCCAGTATGAAGAACTCTATATAGAGAGTGATGCTATCCAATAGTGTTCCAATTAAAATCAATTAACATCACATCAAGTTTTCTTGGAGTCAGGTCCTCAATTCTGTACTTCAGGTTCTGCAAGATGTTATCTGCCACTTGCTAACAAGATGTACAGGTGATTAGTCTGAGAGTTTTGCCAAGCATGAGCAGATCCATCAGTGGAGGTGGGCTGGGTATTTTTTCGATGGGAAACGGCATTTAATTTCATGCAAGTTCAAGTAAGAATTCATAACATGCTGAAATTCTAAATACATACATTTTAACTAAACATTTCCCACCACACCTTGTCCTATAAAAAATTTAGAATGTAATATTTATGTCAACATTTCCATCAACATCTTTTTGTTTTTAAAAATCCAGATCTTCAGAGTCAACTTAAACCCTACACAATACTGGTTTGTAAACCCTTGTACTTCTAAAACCATAATTATATACCAAGGTAGCATCTGCACCAATTTGAGATGCAGTACACTACCACTAGTAATAAATACAAGTAAATAAACTATATAGCAAATAGAGATAAAAGCAAAGATGTGCTGTTACCATCAAAACAGAACATGATATAAAGTTTGGATGACCTAATGATAGTCTGAGTTTTCTGAGCCAAGTTCAAAATTTCTAGAAACAAATTTGTCAAAATAAACATACCAACATGTGCTGAACCACTGCTACTTTTACTTTGTATAGAGGTACTGCATGTCTGGGTCCCGGGTTGTGCTGTGCCTGTTCGATTTGTACCCCTGTATAATTTCCTACAGGAGAGTTCATCATTGTCACTGTCATGTAGGGATGGTGTCCGAGGCCTAAAATGCCGCCATCTACATGATTTGATATTGACTAGTATCTGACTGAGGTCTTTCGAGAAAGATTTGTCCGAGGTATTTGTTTCTGAGGTATTGGCAAATTGACTGATTGAAGAGTGTTGCGATGAGGAAAACATTTCCAAATCCAGCTGATGAAATGTATTATCGTAGTCCGAATGCGCTCTGTCTAGTAACACCCTAAAAACATGAAAACAATGCAGAATTATACAGTGGCAAGAAAATACCAAGTCACCATCTTGCCACGTGTGCTTGGGGACGACAAAGGGACAGAAGAAACTACACACAACTGTTCTAGAACAAGCCCAGTCCCTGTCTCCCTCCCAGCACAATGCATGACTATATGTTATTTTACAAGAAGTAGTACGTTTAGGTTTCTCTTCACATGTGTATTATAGCTTTTACTGTCTGAACTGCTGATGTATAAGACGCTGCATAAGTTGGTTTTTTTTTAAATCATCAGAGGCTGGAAGACAGAGTTCCACAATGCAAACAAAAAAAAGGTCAATAAAAAAAGAATTGCTTAAGTAACTAAAAAGCAATTCAAATGCCCTCCTAAAGTAATTTCAGTTCAAAAGCCTTACTGCTATACATACTGAATATACCTACAACCATCCTAATGCAGTGGGGATGCCACACATTAACTTCCAAATCCCCTTGCAAAATCCCAGTAAGAGCCATCAGCTCCCACATTCTGATTTTGCTGATATGCCAACCTGACTTGCTAACATGTGAAGAGGTGCTAAGCATTAATCTGAAAGCCAAATCGCGTTCTTACATTTTTTTAAATTAAAATACCAATGTACCATTTTCTTAAAAACATCATACAATATGAAAGAAATAGCACTTATACACTGAACAATTTATAAATTGTTTTTGATACAGATGCTTAGAAGCAAAGTGCCTGAAGTCCTTAATTCTTTTAATATTTTTGACATTTGAAATTTAACAGTTAGTCACTTGTTAAGTATTCCTCCCAAAATTCTCCTCTATAACTGGAAAAATCACAAAATATGGTCCAAACTCAGAAATGCATTTTCTGAAAAATGTGACTTTAGCTATTTTTAAACACTATTATATTGGAAGAAAACTATGCAAATTATTCAAATATAAACCACCAATCACAGCTGAAAACATACATGTATTTTCACCTCAGAACTTGGGAGTGCCAGCAATAAAAAACACTAGAAACATTTATGAGAGCAGTATTAAAGCAGCTTCCACTACTGCAAAATAAAAATGGAGACATTAACCAGATAAGGAAACTTGTATAGCATGGAAGTATTTAAAAAGTCAATCTCACCAATGCCTCCATTTTTTTTTTTTCACTTTGCTCTTTATGTCTTACTGATTTTATTTTTTTTTTCATTTTATTTTTAAAGCCAGCAACAATTATGCAGCACTTACCTTCCACCACGGCCGACCCGTCTTCGTGCAAACCCAATACACCTCTGGGGTACAGTGAGAGTGGTTAAGCAGTATCTGTAACGCACATCTCCTAATCTTCCCTCTTTAGGGCTACTCCATGGCCAGTTGCCAGGTTGGTCTAAATGAGGCTTAAAATAATTTTAAACAATTAAACGAGATGTTTTCCACCAATGATGCTCTGTCTCACAATACATAAGGAAATTCTACTTACAGCATAGTACTGACAGCCTGCTTTCCTACGGAAGGCAAAAGGACCATCGGGATCATTTTCTTCCTCAGCCTCCGAAGAACCAGACAAAACCTTTAAGAGAGGGGATGGGGGGATGCACGAAGAGGTATATTAGTAAATTCCTGAGTTTTACTTCTATTCTTTCCCCAAGAGCAGTACAGAACTCTAGAGGTCCTACCTGGGAGAGAGGTTCTTCATCTGAGCTAGGAAAATCATACTGATTCAAATCTTTAGCATTAAAGACTGGCAGTGCAGCAGGACTTGTCTGTTGAGCAGCAGCAGCAGACGAAGGTAAGACTTTTGGCTTCTTCTCATACTTCCTTTTGGGTCTAATAACATCAGGTTTGTCTTGCTGCACGAAAACAAAAGCAGCATGAAGTCACACACACAAGCAAATCAGTTTAAAACAGGAGTTTCAGAAAACTCCTGTGTAAGCAAGCTAAAACATGAGCTCATCTCTCCACCATCTCAACAGCAAAATGTGCAGTTGTTTCATTGATATCTGTACTTCATGTCCAGTAACTGAAACGTTTAACAGACAAGGTGGAATCAAGTACTGTTTGCTCAATCTGTGCTAGATAAAACGCTAGCGGTTAAGGTAACAGTACTGCTTTGGAGAAGTAGACAAAAATTGACACAATGATCTCCATGAGGCACCTTTTTCATTTTCTAACATTTTAAATTAACAGGCATTCATGCAGCGTTAAAGAATTAATAAGTATCAAATAATGCTTTAAAGGTAAAAATAGCAGTTATACTTCTCAAAGACACCTAGAATCTCAGAAAATCCTCTAAAAATTATACGCATTTCCCCATACTATGCAAAGTCAACTTTAAATGCATTTCCCGTGTTTCCAAAGAACAGATCTCTTTCAAGCTGCGAGGCACCGCATCAACCCAGTGTCACTAATAGTTTAGTACACTCCAGCAATCTCTATTACAATGCTCTGCTATTAACAGAAGCCTTCACTGACCCAAGCCACCTTGTCAGATTCAAAACAGCCTTTGGACAGTCTTTGGTTTATAAACTCTTTGTTCAAAATTCATATTATACCTCAGGATTTCTCCAGTGTTACCTGACCTATTTAATATACTCAGTTGTTGGCACTGTAGCTATGCTTTCTATGACACTAAATTAAAGCCTGCAGGAAAAAAAGTGTTAGTCAGCTGCCTAAATCAAATAAGCTTATTTAATACTTCACTTAAATACAAACCCAAAGATGTACAGCATGCTGGGAATATCAGTGGATCACATCACAGAGAGAAAAAACAAAACAAAACAAAAACCACACAACAAAAAAACCCCAAAACCACCTACAACGCTCCAGATTAAAATAACTACATAACTTAGAGCAAGATATAGGTTTTACCTCACTAGTCCTATCTTTGTCCAATAGCTAGGTAACAAATACAGTTTTGTTCAGGATATCCTAACTTTATGGACAGTATTAGAGAAAAATGTTCACATTCCCCAGAATAAGAATACAACTGCTTCTTTCCTTTTGTCTGCAGCTGGTCCTTACTTCCTTTATTTCTGTCTTGAGGACTATCAATAGTCTGCATGTTATCCTCATAACTCCAACAGCACAAAGCACTTTTTTCCAAGTGCAGTTTTGCTAGTCTATTTCCGGTTTCAAAAAGCCTCCCCCTTTCTCCCATCATAAAATGCTGTACCTCGCATATGTAACAGCATGAACTAGTAACTCGGTTACTGACATTACTCACTTTCACTTTAAATTCTTTCAGTTCCATAGCCTCTTGGTGTTTGAAAGGACTGCTGTTAGTCACAGGAATGATGGGAATAGCATAGGTAGGTTTCATCGGCTGCCGCTGTGCCATGACCTCAGACACGATCTCTCCACTGTAGTCACCCAAATTATACCTGAAATCAGAATTTATTTTTTGAATTTGTTGGAACGTTCACAACATCTGTCAGGTAAAAAACTGTGTGACACAGAGCAACAGAGACCAATACTCGCAAGCTGGGGTACGGAGGCTTCCAGCACAACACCAAAAAGTATTCCAGAAAAAGGGGGCTAATAACATGGAAACTTCATTGTGATGACCAATGCTGACAAATAAATAAAAAGGGTAACTACACTATAAAGCCTGTAAAACATCTCCAAAAGACAATACTGTAAAGGAAAGAAGAAGAAACTAGAAGGAAAGAACAGAAGACGGTTTTCCCCCCATCACTTGGGCACAAGTACCATTTAAAAACATACATACAACCACCCAAAATGGTTAGTGCTTGAAAAAATTGCCCCAGTAGAGACATTTAACTTGTCTCCCTAAGAAGCCAGACTAAAAAGTTAGTTTTAGAGCTTTAAAATACTGACTCCAGGCATTTGTTTCCAAACATGGATGCTTAAGATAGAGAAGTCTATTCAGACCCTAAGTACCAACTTTAAGAACAACTCAACATCGCAAACGTGATTCTCAGTTGATTAGTAAAGTGACAGATGACAGAGCAGAGCATTTGGTCTTCAGCACAGCTGACAAACAGGATGTCAAGAGAAGCACTAGTTGGAGACGACTCACAGAACAACATGTTGTACTGTATGAAATGCTTATTTGTTTTCCTCAAGAGGGTATTAGGATCAAAGTTTGCTATAAAACAACAGTAATAATAAAGAAAAGGAAGAATTGTAAAGATTAGAAATGGCCTTAAAATTAGCTGGAATTTCCTACCTATGCATTTAAGTTTAACACAAATTTCGAAATGAATTTACCTGAAACTATGATCTCTCCTTCTGTATAAGATATACATAAACAAATACATGTACATGTGTAATAAACCAGTGTAGCTTAGTGTGACGGGTCACTTTTTCACAACAATCAACTTCCTAGCATTTTATTTGTTCTCCATAGCTGTATGTGAAAATATGCTACCTTGTAAACATGAAAAAGTTTAAACACTTTTTAAAAAAAATCTCTCACTGTTTTAAGTATTTGAGGGAATCTGAACACAAGGTAGTTTCCAAAGCTTTCTGCATCAAATTTTCAATAAACGTTACCTCTTTTCCATAATTTCCAGTGTTAAATGCAGCAACTCTCTCTTGCTTTTTTCCCTCCTCTTTATCATCTCCAGGATGGTTACTGCACGACTCAGATCTCGACGCAGCTTAAGCATCTTCTCATAAGATGCTTCATCATTTTTTCGATTCTGTAGATACATAGTGTATATGTTTCCCCACATCATTTAAATAATCTGAATTAATTTCTAAATATTTGTGTACATATAGTAAAAAAAAAAAAAAAAAAATCACATGCTAAAAAGCACGTGCACGTTATCAGTGAGCTACAGTTACCAACACCATAAGCAGGTTTAGCAGTAAATTTAGTGAAAAAAATAACAAACTTTCACTCAATAGCTGTCCTAAAGCAGTTCCTTTCATGTCTTTACCCTTGCAATTAAAACACAAGAACACCTCAGCTCTTATTGTTTTGTACTACGTAGCAGAATTGTTTCTTTATATAAGCTACTTGTTGAGATGGGGAGAATGCAGAGAAAGGAAGTAGAGGGAGGTACTGATCTACTCACTTTTCGTGTCTGCATCTTTTCTGTTCTTCTTCGAAAAGCAACGTAAGGGTCATTTGTGCTGGAACCATCTCGCTTCTCTTGTTTCACTGCTGGGATAAGAGAGGGACCTCGACAGTTTTTCCTCTTTTTAATCCAGTACTCATACACTTCTCTGATCAATTCATCATCTTCCTTCAGCAACAGCTTGGCCTCTTGCAGGCTGACTGGCTAAATGTAAAACCCAGCATGTCACTTTTATGCAGCAATGCACAGAGCGCGTATTTCAAATTCTTTACTCAAAGTACCATTGTACCTGCTGACCGCTGCCCTTTTCTAGTCTGTCTATCATCTCCTCAAATTGCAAAGGAGAGATGTCCATTCTTTTCTTCAACTTATTCACAAAGATCTCATCTTCTGAATCCAAGTCATAATCCGGCTGCTCAGCATCCAAACTAAAAGCTAAAGAATACAGTGAAAGTTAAAATTAGTTTTACTAAAGACATGTTTTACTCTAATAGCAGTGCCTGGAGTACACACCAGATTCTTCTGAAGACAAAACCAAAACTATTTGTTTGAATGATGAAGTAATACTACTTTGAAGTTCTATCTAGTTTTTTCTTGAAAAAAATTACACCATTAAAAAAAAAAAATCAAGAATAATAGTTGGTATCTATTTGACTACGCTTTTGTTAATCAACAAAAGCTTACTAGTGGTCAAGTCAGCTAGTGACTTTCGACCTCAATGTTTTCAGTAAGAAATTTTTATATCTGCCAAAGTTTTCAACACTTTCTAGTATTCTGCAGCTCTGTGTACTGTATTATCAATAGTTCAGATGTCAGCCCAAATGCACTTGAAAGGTTACTTCTACAAAAGTATGTGCAGACAGTGACCTTACACACATTCACATCAAGGATGTCTGTGATGTAGACTAGTCAGACTAAACTGGCCCAGCACGACCTACCCTATTTAGCAAGACATCTTCAAATGCAAGTAATGTTTTGCACAACAAATAACTGTTCTGTATTCCACAATATCCTATGAAAATGCAGCATTCTGCATTGAAAATAAGATCTCCCCAGTTCTCATGCTGCATTCAAGTTGGTTTACTTAGTAAGAGAAACTAATTTCTTCCCCAGCGCACATCTGGAAACAGTGTGAAAAGCATCACTTCCTTTTATAAATAAATAGGTAGAATACAATGCAGTTTAAAACCACCATTTCAGCTGTTAAGGAAAAGAATGAAAAACTGTAACCTTAGTATCAGCATGGAAGGCTACTAGTATTAGTCTCTTCATATGCTTAGGAGCAGAGCAACATGATCTAATATTCCTGATCTTGCACCTGATCTAGTGGAAGATGTCCCTGCTCACTGCACAGGGGATGCTGGATTGAATTACCTTTAAAAGCCCCTTTGAACGCAAACTATTCTGTGATTCTGATACTTTCAGCCATCACTGAAGCTTGGACTAATACAGAAGTCTAACATTAACCAAAGTTAACTTGGCACGAGATCTGTTTACATAGCACAGATACTACTTTTTGAATTCCACTAATTATACCACGCAACAGAATTCTGCAACAGATTATGTTTATTATCATGTTTTCAAAAGTTATCTGAAGTAATGTTGTGCTCACATCAAGGGTCACAACCCTTCAGAATAGCTGTCGTCTTGCAAGAACAAAAACAAAACCACAACACATTTGCAAGCCATCAGTGATATAAAAAAATACCTACTTTCAGATGTAGAATAATTTCATTCAGGCATAGGCAAATATTACTACTACTGCCATTTCTGCTTAGCTTCCCAATCCACTCCACTGTCATTTTATCTTGATTAAGCTTCAGCAGACAAGTAGTCTTGTTTCTTAACTATGTATCATATATTCTCCTCTTCAAGTAGATTTGTGTCTGTCCTTGCTAATGAGCCTAAATTTCCCTGCAAGCTGTAACTACTGAGTACACAGAGGGCAGACACAGGCCTTTCAGATTGCTAAATTTAAAGTACTAGCATATAGACATAGACTCAAGAGGGACATCTATCCACTTATTGATCAAGGGCTAAACACACCTCTTCGGTAGGAAGGATGTATTGCTTTACATGTTGGAAAAAAGTAATTCTCAGAAGTCAGTCTTAATGCAAGCTCAACAAACATTTAAGAGCAATCTCTTGAACTACCAGCAAAAGTTCTCTGTGTCGACTTCCATGAATCAGCTACTTTACTTACGCTGTATGTGAATCAGCTGCTTTGGCATTTTAAATTCTCCGGGATATATAGATTCATAGTACGCAATATTACTTTCTGCTTCTGGAACCGGTATAACCATGTTATCCCTCTTCTCTCCATATACTTGTTGTGCTGAGATAGCCCGCTGGAGGTGATGTTCCTATGAACAAAAAAAGATGAAAATCTGAGAACATATTTTCAGAGCTCATACTTTAAAAAAAGTTGAAGTTTGCAAATGCTCTCATTCCAAATCCCTGAGATCAGACCTACGCAATCAGTACTGCACACTTGACTCAAAATGCACTCGATAAACCCAAAGATTTTTCCAGCAGATGGAGCTCTCCCTCTTATACAAACACACAAAACACTTCAGTTCCTAAACTTAGTTGAGTTGCATGTTCTTGGCACACCAAGCTACATAAATCCATCTTTACATATTTATAGAGAGACACTTAAGATTGATTAGACATACAGATTATAACAAGTAGCTGCAGACAGATATTGACTCTGGAATTATCCTGTATTTACTACAGTCATTTACTGCCAGTGATATCACAAAACCAGAAAGGAGGCCTGTCATCATCTCCTATCAAGAAAAGAAGCAACTATTTTTGCCCAGACAGAGAACAATTCCTAGAGACATTCTCATTTATTGCAGTGCTATCCATTATCCTCTTTTTTCCCCTTCTAATCCATCAAATAAAGTTTATCACTAAACGATAAACCACAAGGGTGAAAGTAATTTAACTTTTAGAAATCTGCAACTGGTTTTCAAGCTTAAAAGTAAGTGATATTTATAACTGTTACTTTAACCCAAATAACAGGTTAGTAACATTACAAATTCTAGTAATTTTCTAATGCTACTATTGAAATGCCTTCCATCCTTCCTGTGGTGCTGCCAAGACAGTAAGTAGTATCAGCAGAGTTCATATAGGGTTACCAACACAAACCCACACAGCAAGACCTTGTGCATGTTTATAAACACCTTACTGACTATGCAACACAGTACTTTCGCCCTAGTACCAAAGTCGGTTCCTTAAGTTTTTATGCCGTTTCTTCCTAGGTACTCTGTAAACCAGTGCTTTATCAGTTGTGCCAATACAGTTATCACCGAGATGCTATAAACCAGATTACCGGAATATTCGTAACAGGAATTGCAGTGAAGGGGTGGCAAGGATAATCAAGTTTAATATTGAAGTAACAACATATCATATTCCAATTTCTCTGATCCATCTGATATGGAAATAGGCACTGCTAATTAGTACCAGTAGTCTACACTAATTTCCTAACAGGCTTCAGTAACAAGAATTTAAAGAAATCCTAACAATATTCTTGAAGCAGAAGCACAAACCATAGTTTTCCCTGACTTTCATCCCAATTACAAAAATACTCTGTACTTCAGTGGAGGGTGTTAGTATACCCACATATTATGAAAACAACTGGACAGAAGTTCCTCCACTGAAACAGGTAAACTAATCTGCTATTCCTATCCGTTTCAATTTACCACAAGAGACACTCCACTAAATAAAAGAAAACAAGCAGTCACGGCAACACACCCTTTACACCATCCATGCACCAAGTTCTCACTTATTTGGACAAAAATCAACAACAACAACTTTGCCCCCAGCTTCAACATCTCAGCTGGTGGCTCAGCTCATCTCTCTCCTGATAATACTCAATCAGGTGCGACTGGTAACTCTAGAAGCACTCATTTTTAATAATGAAAGCATGTTAAATATCTACAGTTAACTAACCTACTACAGTTACAGTTTCTATTCTGCAGTCATTCTCTACTGTGATTGCACAGCTGATTACTTTCACCCAAATGCAACACCTCATTCACCTGAAACCACAGCCTTCCATTTAAAAATGCAGTGGTTTCCTCAGTTTGTCAGAGTGATTTTGAATGCCGAATCCTCATCAGACATGCTGGCTGCCATTCATGTTATCTTGATTTAGTATGTAGGTGCTGTAGTCCAAGCCAATCCTGAAAACACCAAAGGCATTTAAACAGACCTCTTCAGACATTTAACAGATATTTTCACTTTCACTATACCACAGTTTCTATCATACTTTTTCTGCTCATTGCGTAACACAGCAGTATCAAAAAGGCTTTTTAAAAAGCCAAGATGCAACTACCCGCTAGGTCCCTTGCTCCACCACAGAAAGAAGTTAGACTGGATTAACCAGGCTTTGTTCTTGAAAAATTCGTATTAGTTGTTCACAAAGAGATTAAGATCTTCCAGGTCAATACTAGGGCCAAATTATTTACATTATCCATATTCCTCCAGGAACTGTTGTTAAGGTAACTTGTTTGTAACCCTCTAGCTCCTACCTTTTCAACAGGCTGTTACTGGGGTTTGGTTTGGAGTTTTTTCTTTGAAGTTTTTTAATGGGTTTTATGTCAGGGGTTTTTTTTGGTTGTTGGTTTTTCTGTTTTGTTTTTTGTTTGGTTTTTTTTTTCTTTTTTTTTTTTTTTTCCCTTAGAAGTTCTCAAACAGCTGTGAAATTATTTCAGACTGTTTCTTTAAATTCCTAGCATGAATTTTACGTGGGTTAGTCAAGTTCAAAGGCTGTAATTTGTCATGTTAGAAGGAAACTCATCTAACAGTTAGCTACCACTATAAGGTGCAGTCTTGTGCCCCTTGCTGTCATTCTTCTTACCACTGCCTTACACCAGACTCAACCTACGATGACAACTTAGGCAAACAAATCCACAGAAAGCCATCTCTCTTCTGCTATTTCCTCTGAAAACAATTAGAAACAATTAGTCTTCTGACAAATTAGCTCCCTGAACTGCCAGGACAAGGGGGGAGGGAGTGGGGAAAGGGATGAAGAGAGAAAGAGCCATTCAGAATTCATTCAAAACCTAAAAATCTGCTTGCTCTGCCCCGCCCCAGTTAATTTTCCATCAGGTTAGCTTCCCACACTGGTTCATAATGCGGTCAGGCAATCCCGAAGGGATGCAGCAGCAGCACTCAGCCCAGAGTGTCCGAGGAAAAGAGCAGCTTCATCACTTTTTGCAACACCCAGCCAGTAACATGAGACTATACCTTATTCATCCCACTATATTCCTGCACAGTTAAAATTCCAACACTTAGCAGACTACCCTGCTAGTTGTTTAAAGAAACAAAAGCTTGACAGCCACCCTCCTCCTTTAGAAATTTCCCTCTAATTAGACTGACCATGGGAAAAGCCCACCAAAACAGCAACCCGTATTCTGACTACCCAGAATGTAGCAAGGCATGATGTATTTTTAAAAGAGTATCCACTCTCATCATATCAGTATTGCCATGCATGTACTGGGCCCAGTCTTGTTTAACTTCTTCATCAATGACCTGGATGAAGAGCTGGAATGTACCCTCAGCAAGTTTGCTGATGACACAAAACTGGGAGGAATGGTGGGTACACCGGAAGGCTGTGCTGCCATTCAGCGAGACCTGGACAGGCTGAAGAGCTGGGCAGAGAGGAACCTGATGAGGTTCAGCAAGGGCAAGTGCAGGGTCCTGCACCTGGGGAGGAACAACCCCGTGCACAAGTACAGGCTTGGGGTGGACCTGCTGCAGAGCAGCTCTGTGGAGAGGGACCTGGGTGTCCTGGTAGATGACAAGTTGACCATGAGCCAGCAGTGTGCCCTAGTTGCCAAGAAGGCCAATGGGATCCTGGGGTTCGTTAAGAGAAGTGTGGCCAGCAGGTCGAGGGAGGTTCTCCTCCCCCTCTACTCTGCCCTAGCGAGGCCCCATCTGTAGCAC